CCACGCAGTCCTCCCCGGAGCCGTGGTTGTTGGGCTCATCCTTCTTCCAGTTGCTGTAGGCCAGCCTCCCTCCGGTCACGTACACGAACTGGCCTTCGGTCACCTCGTCTGTGATGCCCAGGAAGGCGGTGTCCTTGGCCACGTCCTGGATGGCCTTATTCTCTTCCTCATTCTTGGGGGCAGCTACAGTGGCCTGGAGCTCGGCACAGAGAGCCTTCACTTTGGAAAAAGGCGCCTTCTCCCCGTTGGTCACATAGAACTTCTTCCCAGACTTTCTGCCCAAGGAGAAGCTCTGCACTGAATCACAAAGGGTGGAGAGGCTGACTCAGTGGGGAGCCAGACCCCGACAGGGCCAGAAGAGCTGTCAGCAGGGCCTGGCTGCGTGGCGGGGCATGCTGCACCATGCTGGGAGCCACGCCGGAGGCCCATGCTCAGCCCAGGGTCAGCCTGAGCACTGGCCACACCACGGACATGCTCTGGCATGCAGAGGCTTGGAGCAGGGGCAGGCTATGCGTGCTGGGACCCTGCTAAGGACACCCCTGTGGGGCTTTTTTTTGAAGTTTTAAACAAACTTTATTTAAACAATAAAAAACAAAAATGAAAAACTTCTCTGGAACTCAGGACTGAGGAACAGCCCCACGCTCAGCCTCCTCAGGTCAGAGCCCAGTTAGGAGGCACACCTCGGCCGCGGAGCTGGGAATGGACGAGGCAGAGACCGACAGCCTGGACTCTCCCGGGGTAGCTGCCCTTGAGACGGGCAGCCATGAGAGGCTGTCCTGTGCACACAGACACAGAAGATGCGCTTGGGCCTTCCTGTTGCTGGGTCAATGGGCTGAGCAAGTGGTGAGGACGGGTCTGAGCACAGGGGTGCTGAGGAAGGAGCAAAGGTTCTGGAGACGGCAGGCCTCACTCCTTCCTCCTCCACCTGCTAGCTGGGCGGAGTGGGAGGCCCTGCTCTTTCTGAACCTCTGTTTCCTCGTCTGTAAGTGAAGCAGGGAGAGTCACCACGAGGGACGGTGATCTCGAGGGCTGGATTAGCACGGGCTGAGATAGCAGCCCAGCTCAGGCCCGGCATGTGACACGTGCTCCCGCACAGCACAGGCCCAGGGCGTGCCCAAGGGAGGCCTCGGGCAGGAAGGCTTACACTTCTTGACGCGGTCCAGCTCTGACTTCAGGCTCCTCACCTCTCTCTCTAAATTGGCCAGCTTCATCTCGGCAACTACAAAGCAACAGGGAGAACTGACGTTTCGAGCAGAGCGTTTGGAAGAGAACGAGTGCCCCACTGAACGTGTGCTCGTTTCAGAAGAGTAAGGCCACAGAGGGGAGGCCGCAGCTGCCCTCCCACCTTCCCGGACTCCGTAGTCTCACCTGGGGACTTCTACCTGCACCTCTGGACCCTTTTTACACATGGCTCTGAAATATCACAGTATCGTAGTAACTTATAAGAACATAGCCAAATCATGCTCTCCTTCTTGAAAATGTTTCTTTTTGGCTCCTTTTCCTTTCTCATCCAGGCAGACTCCTTAACACTGTCTTGATTTGGACAAGTAAGTAGACACACAGAGTGAGAGGACTGGCCCAGCCTGGCCGTACAAATGGAGCAGCAGGCCGGACGCCATGTGGGTGACCAGGGTCCAGTCCCCATCATGCACCACACCCAGACCCGAGGAGCAGGAGGATCGCTCCATGATGAGACCGGCGAGGAGCTTCTCTCCCCTCTTACACACATGCACTCCCCTCATCGATAGAGTAAATAAACTTTAAAAGGAAATAAAGGGGTTTCCGTTTCAAAGTTCTTACTGAACTTGCTCTGTTTGCTCTGAACTTAGCTATGGAGTTCCCCATTGCCAGGAGTCCCATGGGCAGGCTATTCTTAGGCCACTTTTGTGATATGAACCCAACGCCCGACTCATTAAGTGGTTTTACCTAAAGAAGAGTCAGGGCCCGCCTCCCACACGGCCTGATGAGGACGTGGCCCGGCCAGGTTGGAGGTCTGCTGGCCACGTGGCTGAGTTGCTTGCCCCGGGAGATGGACGCCTCCCTCCGGCCCTGGGAGACCACACTGGACTGAGTCCTTACCTGAGCTGTCTCCATGGTCGCCTTTTTGGCCCCGTGGTCCTGGAATCCCAGGAAGCCCTGTGTTTCCTGGAGGCCCCTGCTTCCCTGGGGGGCCTTGCAAGCCTCTGAGCCCCTGGCCTGTTGGAACATGAAGAACATATCAGGTGCGACGTGGTGCTCAGTCTTTTTCTCCGAAAGTTCAAATCTCACCTCACGTAGACCCCAGGGAACGGCCAGAGAGCCCGCAGTGACCCAAAGGAAGCTGTCCCTGCATCCCTGGAAAAGCCGTGTCCTGAGGGTCAGGACCCCCCTTCTCTGCAGACAGTGCACACCCCCAGTTCCCGTGTGGGGTGTAGGGAGCAAGAGCCAGCCACCCACCCTTGCTGGGAGGCAGCCATGTCCCACAGGGCGAGCTCCAGGGAGCAGCACCAACGTGGAGGGTGGCCTTCCCGTGCCTGTCCCTCACAGAGCAGGGCAGGAAGAAAGTGGCCTGCCATACCTGGCTCTCCCTTCTCTCCCTTGGGTCCATCTCGCCCGTCTCTGCCTGGGGTGCCGTTGGTGACGGGGATGCCGCAGGTGACCACTGAGCAGGCCTTCTGGGCACACTCACAGGCGTTTTCTGAGCAGGACACTGCCCCCACACAGAGGAGCAGGACCGGGAGCGACAGAAACAGGAGCATGGCTCCTTCCTCGGGGTGAGAAAGTCGGGACAGTCATTCTACTCAGCTCGAAAGTCGACATTTGCTGCCATCCATGTCGTGCTGGCCCTGTGTGTGGACAGCGGACACGGGGAGCTCCTGAGCTCTTGGCTCTGAGTCACTCCCAGGCTACTGGGAGGACAGACAAGCGAAGACACCAGGGTCAGGCCGGTGCAAGCACAAAGGCAGATGTGCCAGTCGTTCTCCCTGGGGTCCCAGAGCCCCCATGAGCACACAGGCACCCCACACCTGAAGAGCTGCAGGGCCCAGTATGGGATGATAAACTGGCCCTGCCTCTGCCTGTGTGCGGCTCTGCTGGGTCTTGGCCCCTTCCTCCCCATCTGCCCTCCCCTGTGAGCCTGAGCTAGCCCTGAACTAGCAGCGGTCTGAGCACCCACGAGGCCCGTCGTGGCTGGGCCTAACTTAGGGCTCCCGTCCTTCTGTCCTTCTGTTTCATATGAAAATCCCTGTCTTACCCTCTGGGCCCCCATTCTTTCTTTCTTTTTCTTTTTCTTTTTTTTTTTTCTTTTTCAGGAAAGGAGGTTTCTGTTACCATGCACGCACACAAGCCCGGCATGAGTCTAAGCCACCAGGTCCAGGATTCGAACCGGGGTTGACTACCTGGGAGTCCAGTGACAGCCATTACACTAACTGCTGGTCCCAGGGCCCCCATTCTGAGAGCCGCCTGCTCCCCCCGCCCCA